CCATTGTAGGGTTAGTGATATGCAAGTACACTCAAAAGGAGCAGAACATAATGGGTATATCTCCAACTCAGGCACTGGTTCCAAATCCTGTCTTATGATTCTTCCCATTTTCTTTCGTGTTTAGTTTTAATATGTATTGAGTCCCTTCTCCACTTTTTTAAACAAGGTAACAAAGGACGCGGGCGAGGAGCACCTTTAGGCCGTGGAAAAGAACAGGTGACTTCATCAAAAGGAAGAGGAAAGTATTCAGGTGGGAGAAAATATAAACTACCCGTTTTTTCCTAAAGCAATCTGCTCATACGACTACTATTTGTTTCTTTTACTAATTTTACACACCGGAATTATCGAAGAACGAAGTATGCCACCTAAAAAACCGTGAAACCAAAGGATTACTTTGCAATGTCCAGGAAGTCCATTGAATCACCAAAAGTCAGTTTTTAGAGGCAAGAGTCTCTGGACTTAACGCTGAATAGAGCGTTGACGTCAAAAGCAAATAGTAGTAACGTTCAAAAGGAAAACAGTTTACATTTGTTAACTTGACTGCGCATTCCTTTAATGCACTTGGTTAATACCTACGTCCAGTCTGACAGGCTAGGACCTAGCAAACGGGTTTTTCCACGCCTCTTTGATTCCTGGAAGAAGGTTGAGTACACTTTGCTGGTGAGTCACTTAAGAAATAAATGCATTTTTCATTCAAACGCAGATAAAACAAACCAAGCCCAAAGACCTGGAAAGCCAGGCCCAGGGAACAAAAATCCTAGCTCGTCGGCACAACAGAATAGACGGCCCTCTGCACGTGGGGTGTTTCCAGCGAGAAACGTCTTCTTCGACCCCAAGGCTTTAAAATCGAAGGATAGTAAAGAGATAGTCCACACACTTAACGAGGGACTGCCTCGTTTAAAGTTCCTTCTTCGATCACAGGACCAGCAGCACAACAACGACGAATTCATCTGTGATCTTACTTCTACTTTAGGGAAGGCCTGTAACGTTCCACCAGGTGAAAATATCAACAAGATTCTAGCCACACTTAAAGGCTCGGCGTTCTTCAATTCAAAAATTCCCAGTTTACTTGATCGCCTTGAAGAGTCAACGGCCTTAAATGACCAGGTATCTCGACAAAGGTTCATTGAGCATCTCACCGAAATCTTTATGAAGTACCTGACACATTTGCCAAGTTCATATGCTGACCTACCTTACACTCAGTTGAAAGCAGCCTTAGATCAGTCAAGTGTTCAAAACAAAGAAGAGCTGCAGACAAGGTTAGATGAATTTAAGCAGGCCAGAAATGACGTCATCAGAGGAGAAAGACAGAGGCATGGGAAACGCTTTGTTAACAGGGCAGGCGAAAAGCCACCAAACGATTTTAGAGACATGCCAATTTGTCCCGAGACCAAAGAAATCACAACCCAAGAAAGACCATTCTTACGTAAGAACATTTCAAAGGGAAGGTACGACAGCGCCGAACACTACCTTGATGTTCAGTTTCGGCTGCTTCGAGAAGACTTTCTTGAGCCTTTAAGGGAAGGTATTCGTGAAATTGTCCTCAATATACCGAGACATCAACGCAAACAATTGATGAAAAACTACCGCAGCGTAGAAATTGTCGACAAGGAGTTCACGTGGTCGGGGATCACTCATCAACTCCAAATCGACGTTTCTGGCTTAGATACCAGCAGGTGGGCACATTCCAAAAGACTCTTATACGGTTCCTTTCTCTGTCTCTCAAAAGACAACTTTAAGACGATGCTTTTCGCGACGGTTTGTAATCGCGATCCATGGAATGTGAAGAAAGGACAAATCGACGTCCGATTTATCGAAAATCAGGACATTTTCGGGATCGAGAGCTGCAACAGCGTTTACCAAATGGTGGAGTCTCCCGCCTATTTCGAAGCCTATCGGTACGTTCTCAAGGGATTACAGGAATTAGACGAAGAAACCTTACCATTTCAAAAGTATCTGGTCGAGTGCAGTGGAGAGGTTGACCCACCAGAATATCTACGGCGCGATGAGAGTGAGGAGCCGGTATATTATGACCTTGACGAGGCCCTTGATGTGCTGGATAGACCGAACACCGCAGCAGCTGTACCTGTTCTAAAGGCTGAAGCATGGCCCTCCGCTGAAGCACTTCCTCTCAATAGATCCCAACTTGAAGCGTTAAAAACAGCGATTACAACAGAATTTTCTGTTATCCAGGGTCCACCAGGGACAGGAAAAACTTACGTTGGTGCCAAAATTGTTCGTTGCTTGCTCGACAACCGAAGTGCTTGGGATCCTCGACAGACCTCACCGATGCTGATGGTTTGTTACACAAACCACGCGCTCGATCAGTTCTTGGAAAAGGTGCTAGAATTTTTATCTAGCCGAAAGATAATCCGCGTCGGAGGAAGGTGCAAGAGCGATAAACTTGAGAACTGCAACCTGAAAAAGTTTACTTACAGATACAGGCTGCACGGTAAACGCGAAGAAGTGAACGAGAAGTTGCGGCAAAATAACATAGAAATGGAAATGTCGAAGCAACAACTTGCAAAGGCAAACCACCAACTTTTAGAGTTCGAAGACGTGGAGCAATTAATCTATCCAGCACATTTACAGCAGCTGTGTAATGCTAAATTCCCATCCAAGGTAGCAAACGAGAGTCGCACTCCAAGCAACACTTTCAAGTTGTGGCTATGCAAAAACAAAGAGATGGATTGCAATCAAACGGCAAAGGCGCCAACCCTTGAAAAACCTGTTGAAAATGAAGGAAACGAATTGTCTTATGACGCAACAATGTTCACAGAACCACAAGATGAGAGTGAAAGACCCCTTGGAGAACCTTTAGCAGCAGTTGATGTATCAAAGGACGTAGCTAAATCCGATCTTCGGCTGACGATGAGCATGTCGGAACCTTTAGCGGCAATTAATGCATCAAATGACGTAGCTAAAACCGATCTTCGGCAGAAGATGAGCATGTCGGAACCTTTAGCGGCGGTTAATGCATCAAATGACGTAGCTAAAACCGATCTTCCTCAGAAGCTGAGCATGTCGGAACCTTTAGCGGCGGTTAATGCATCAAATGACGTAGCTAAACCCGATCTTCCTCAGAAGATGAGCATGTCGGAACCTTTAGCAGCGGTTTATGTATCAAATGATGTAGCTACACCCGATCTTCATCAGGAGATGAGCATCTCAGAGGAGACAAAGTTAAACAAAAATTCATTTGAGCGTGGATTACCAAGTGAATTGTCCGATGAACAAAGATGTACTGTCCTAGAGGGCATTCCTAATGATGCCAATGCTGGTGAAAACAGAGAGACGGATGAAGAGACTATTGCAATAGAGAGGGAAGCGGACTTGATACAGCAACAAAGATGGATAGAGGGTGATGAAGACCTGCTGCTACCTATATCAAAAGAAACAGGTGACTTAATAACTGAAGAACTAAATAAACGAGGGACAAATGAGGAAGATGACAGTGGCGAATGGACACTTGTCACGCATAAGAAAAAAGGCCAGTCACATTTCTGGATGCCAAATGACGAAGACAATTCTAAAGAGGACGACAAATTGAATGATGAGGTAACGGGAGGAACGATGTCTGCAAAGAAAAAGAAGAAAAGAAAGAAGAAAAACAAAAAAAAAGTCCAAATCACCGAGGACATTTACTCTATACAAGAAGACCTAAACAACATAAAAATGATGTCTACCGAGGAAGTGATTGGCATACAAAACATCTGGAATATTTCACAATCAGATCGACTTCGACTATACCTCTTCTGGATTGAAAACTACCGTGAACACTACAGGGTAGAAATTCACCACGCCGAACGGGTATATGAACAGCTTTGCGAAGAATTGAAGGAAGTCCAATTTGAGGAAGAGGAACAAGTCATCCGTCAGGCGACCGTTGTCGGAATGACAACCAGTGGGGCGGCGAGATATCACTCAGTTCTTCAAAGGATAGCTCCCAAAATCGTCGTTATCGAAGAAGCTGCCGAGGTGATGGAAGCCCATATTATCACATCTCTTTCGCACAACACCAAACACACAATTCTCATCGGAGATCACAAACAACTCCGCCCCAAGGCGACTGTTTACGAACTGGCCCAAAAGTACAACCTGGAGGTCTCACTCTTTGAGCGAATGGTGTTGAACAGTTTGGATTGCAAACGCTTATCTATACAGCATCGCATGCGTCCTGAGATTGCAACACTTACAAAAAGGATCTATGATCATGAAATTGTAGATCACGATTCCGTTTGCGATTTTCCAGCAATATCTGGCCTTTGCCACAATCTCTTCTTCATTGATCACTGCCAACCCGAGAAACTAATAGGAGGTTTACAGAGTTACTCTAACAATCACGAGGCTGAGTTCTTAGTGGCCCTTTGCGAATACCTTCTACGTCAAGGATACGAACGAAAGCAGATCACAATTCTAACCATGTATACAGGTCAGTTGCTGCTTCTTCAAGAGAAAATGCCACGACGAGCTTTCGAAGGAGTTAAAGTTTGTGCAGTTGACAACTTTCAAGGTGAAGAAAACGACATTATTCTTTTGTCGTTAGTAAGAAGCAACTCAGAGGGTCGCATCGGCTTTTTAGGCGAGTCCAACAGAATCTGTGTCGCGTTGTCACGTGCCCGCCAAGGCTTTTACTGCATTGGAAACTTCAATCTACTGAAAAGTCATTGCAAGCTGTGGAAAGAGATTTGTGGTGACTTAAAGGAAAAAGAAGCCATTGGTGACAATCTACAGCTTATTTGCAAGAGACACAAAAATGTAACGAATGTAAGGTGGGCAAGAGAGTTTAAACAGTGCGAACTTGGAGGATGTACAATGCCATGTGGAGACCGCTTAGAATGTGGCCATGCGTGCGACAAGCTATGTCACGTCTCGGACGTTTACCACGCATTGGGTCGTTGCGTAAAAATGTGCTTCAATTCGTGTTCCAGTGGTCACAAATGTCATAACAAGTGTCATTACCCAAGAGAGTGTCCCAAGTGCTCCGTTCTTGTGCGAAAGACACCTGCCTGTGGTCACGAACAATCCTTAAGGTGCAGCATTGACCCAGATGACGTCTCGTCTGGATTCAAATGCGAGAGGAAGGTCATAAAAATTCTCCCGTGCGGACACAACAATCTTATGAAATGTTACAAAGATCCCATCATTTACAGCGACTGCTCCAGCAGCTGCACGAAAGTTTTGGACTGCGGCCACACTTGCTCTGAGAGATGTACGCAGAAATGCAAGTGTGACACCAAGATAGAAATTGAATTGCCATGTAACCACAGGAAACAAGTGTTGTGCCGAGAAAAAAACAATCCAATCGATTGTAACGAAAAGTGCGAGCGAGCTTTGAATTGTGGGCACGCATGCCCTGGAATCTGCCGCGAAGAATGTGCAACCAAGCTATGCGAGATCGAAGTTTTGAAAGACCTTCCATGTGGCCACCAAAAAATTGTTCGTTGCTTTCAAGAACCTCAAAAAGTTTTTTGTTCTTCTGTATGTGAACGACTTTTGAATTGTGGTCATAAGTGTCCTTCTCTGTGTGGCCGATTGTGTCAGGAAATTCGGTGTAGAGAGTTGTGTCAAAAGAGCTGCGAAAGAGACCACCCCTGTCAAAAGCAATGCCACTATGGTTCATCGTGCGATAAGTGCACGGTGCTAGTAAATGCAACGATCCCCGCATGTGGTCACATGGTTAAGGTTCCTTGTTTCATTAACCCAGCTACACTGATATGCAAACAGCCATGTGAAAGATTGAGAAGCTGTGGACATCCCTGTAAAGAAATATGTGGCAAAGACTGCGAAACTCTACCATGTCAGATACCTGTAACCAGAGAATTATCATGCAAACATGTTGTGGATCTTGCTTGTCACAAAAGAACTGAAACGTTCATTTGCAAAACTAAAATTGGGGCACTTTTGCCATGCGGACATAAAACCTCGTTGGAATGTTATGTTGCAAAAGGGGGGTTAGACAATGTTTTATGCATGGAAAAGATTGAAAAAGAGTTGCGTTGCGGCCATAAAACCACCCTTCCATGCTACACAAACGCCGCGCTATGTTACTGCCAAAAAAAGGTGGAAATCACACTTTCTTGCGGACACAAGAAGCTTACAACATGTTCTGGGAAGGAAGAAGAATTTCAGAATGGAAGATGTTACACAAAGGTGAGGAGACGACTACTTTGTGGTCATGAAAAGGTGATGCATTGTTCAGATAAAGCAGACAGAGTATTCTGCGATGAACCTTGTGAACGTGTTCTCCCATGCAAACACCCATGCGGAAAAAGATGTGGTGATGACTGTACAATCTTCAGATGTGCTGTCGGGGTTAAAAAGGCTTTGAGTTGTGGACACCATGATATCAGTTGTCTTTGTTCAGAGGACGTTTCCCAACGTGTTTGTTCAAATCCGTGCAAGCGAAGTTTGTCTTGTGGCCACCAATGTCCTGGAAAATGCTTTGAGAGATGCAGTGAGTACAAGTGCCAAATGTTGGTTACAAAGAAATTACCCTGTGCAGGAAACCACTCTCTAAAAATGTTTTGTAAAGACAACCCTAACAGCGTAGCGTGTCCTGCGCGATGTGATCGAAAACTGGATTGTGGTCATCCATGCCCTGGACTATGTAGTCAAGCTTGTGGAACTATGAAGTGCAGACGTAAGGTGGTGAAGGAATATCGTTGTGGGCATAAACAACAAATTCCTTGCTTTGAAAGCAAAACTGCTATCTGCAAAGCACCTTGTCAACGTCGAGAAGGATGCACACACAGGTGTAAGGGGTTCTGCGGGGAGCCCTGTTCAAATTACCCCTGCCAAGTTCCTTTGGTTAAGACCTTGCCTTGTGGTCACAGGGTTAACATGCCTTGTAGCTTCCGTGTTGATGAAGTACAATGCCCTGTTTCTTGTCAAGCTAAGCTGTCGTGCGGTCACGAATGCTCTGGAACTTGTGGCGAGTGCAAGCAAAGGGGATCACATGAAATATGCCAACATCCATGTAACCGGGTTCTCGTTTGTTCACACCGTTGTCAGGAGACGTGCGGCAAGCCATGCCCACCTTGCGCTAGACAATGCAGTCGACGTTGCCCTCACACAAAATACTCTCAACAATGTTCACAACCGTGCAGACCATGCATAAAACCATGTAACTGGAATTGCCCACATTACCAGTGCAACAATCCATGCGGAGAGGAATGCGACCGTCCTCGATGTGACGCGCCCTGCCCCAAGAAGCTCCCTTGTCGCCACCCTTGCATTGGTCTGTGTGGAGAAAACTGTCCCACTATGTGTGCCATTTGCCACTCTAAAAAGCTCTCGTCCATGATTGGCCAAGCAAATTTGAAAGTAACAGAAGGTACAAGATATATGCAGCTTTTTGACTGTGGTCACATTGTAAAGGTTCAAGAGATGGACGAATGGATGCTGCGTGATATGGGAGATAATGTCAATCAAATTCAGTGTCCTAGATGCTCTATACCGATTACCTTCAGTTATAGGTATGGAAATATCGTGAAGAGGATCCTGAGAAACATGGAAAATGTTAAGAATCGAGTAAATGAAATTGGAAATGAAACCACCAGATTTACCAGAGAGCTTCTGATTACATTGCGTCATACCCCAAAAGAAATTCTGACTATAGCTAACAAACTGTCAAGACGCCCCAGCTCAAAGGCGTTGGATAAAGTACAAATGCGCCATATTCCCTTTGTTTTTGCTCTGAGAAATAGCCTTCTCATCTTCCATCAAATTGAGAAAGCGTATCTCATTTTGCAAGCTGTTGAAAAATGTCAGGTAACGAATCATTCAAGAACCATCAAAGATGCTCTAGAAAAGATCTCAGATTACCTCTCGACCCCTCAGTTTGATTTAGGAACTGTGAGACAATTGAATGAACATACAAGAACGTTAACCCTTTTCGCTTCGATTATAGAAGCTCAATGCCAAGCCATCAATTGCCGCGGATCTTTTTCAAGTATTGGGGTATCACGTTTAAAAGTGGCTGAAGAAAGGTTCGATTTATTTATGAAAGGTAACAGTAAAGTCCTACAAAACGAATGGCTGGAAAAAATTGCAGCTTCTTTGAGGAACGAGGTCGGCCTTCTACCCCTTCCACCTGAGGAACCCAAGACTGAATTCAAGAACTTCCCAGGCTATAACACCAGTGTGTGGAAATTGTGCAGGCTACATGGTCAAGTGTATCTCACCACATCATTTATGTGCGAAGGAGAGGATGTGAGCGAGATAAATGGTTGCAGACAATGCGATGGCACAGATGACACTGACGAAGATACTGGATAGGACGCGGAAGACTGGCAAGTCATCACGCAGTTATTGGAGAGGAAAACTAAGCACACGTTGCAGTCACTATGACAGCTTCTTAGAAAACCATGCAAATGAGAACATTCTCATCAACAAACTTAACAACGTTTTTACATCTAAAATGTAAACTAGTGGTACCAAACTGATTTTTCAGGCCTCCACACAGGGCTTGACCAAGCTACCGTTAAATTCCTAAAATAAGCCCGTCCATGTATAATCCCTCCAAACATTAGCCTCCCAAACTCATAACGCAAAAACCCTCCGATAAATCGCCCCTCCAAATACAAGCCCCAGGTGGCTTACACTCAGTTACGGCCCTCAAATTCAAAATAAAAAAAAGCAAAAACTTTACAGTAATACATAAATTTTTGCATTTGCCTAATAACTATTACGTGTGCCAAATATGATTGCAGTTGAAAAGTGTCACAGTATATTGCTGTTTTCGTCGCTGAGGTTTAGAAAGATCTACGTCCTCAAGGCGAGTTTCAGACGCATATTTCCCTCCTAGTATACCAGGGGTTTCAATAAAAGCCGGTTACCGGCGGTCTACCGCCGCCTGTAGGACCTCTTACCGACGTCTGTTTGGATTTCATTAATGAAAATAAAAAGTGATTTTAAAAAAACAAATACAACAACAACGACGACCACTGAAATTTTTAAATGCTACAAAAAAAGCGGGCAGACCCAAGGCCAAAAAACTGAAGCGCATGCGATAATTTCAACGTCCAGCGGTACACTAAAAAACTGAAGCCTCGATATCGTGACAAAGCAACATGGAGTCTAGAAAACGTAAGCGGAACGACACGACGGACATAAATATCAATGCATTTAAGCGGTTTTTCAAGGACTCTGGGACAAACTCTGACGGGAACCAGTCTTCGTCAACCGGTAGGAATAATGTTATCATTTCTTTGGATTGATAATCTTTATGTAAAGAATAATTCGATTATTGCCGAATTGCAGGTCGTTCGAATCCGTAAAATAAACAGCTTTCGACACATAGTTTTAGCCATTGGTTTTTACAATAACTTTCAGTTTCTATTAACTGTACCGAGTATCAACGGCCCAGCTAACAAAGAGGCTTCCCATCTTCTTCATTTTATTTTATTCTGAAGAGTTAAAAATCAGTTTGTTGCATGCATGTTGGTACATTTGAATGAGTAGCAGAAAAGTTGTACTTGTTTTAAGAAAGGACTTCAAAGAAATTACTGCCTAAGAGGATATCAAGTCTCACTGAGAGATATCTGCTATCTGCCTAGAAAGGTATTCAAAATGCACCTTTTTGCATCAAAAATTTAATATCTTTTTTGAAAAAAATCCTGCTTTGTGGTCAATAAAAATACGCATCAACAACACGCTTTTTGATGCCCAGAAGGCTGGAAATCGCATTTCCGAGCTTCTAGATTTCAATTTTTTCTGGGGGAGCATGCCCCCACACCCCACTAGGGGAAAGGGGCCTTACAGCTCCTTTAGTGGTCACAGCCGCCTATTAAACCTTCAGTGGCCGCTTATAACTAATGTTATTGAAACCCCTGTATAAGCCCAGCCGATTTTAAAACGCAAATTTTCCCACTTATATTTAAAGCCCCTCAAAAAGGGCCTTAAAAAAATATAAGCCCCGTGGCTTGTTTTCGGAATTTTACGGTATACCATTTATGAGTTATCTGGTTGAAACTCATTATTTTGTTGACAATAACTCTCTTGCATGAGTATCGTAATTTTTTAAATCCAAAGGAAAGTACAACAGTAAAATTAACCAAATGCGTTACTAAAGCAACACGTCTACTTGGTGAAGGCTATGCGTGAGTAGGATGAGTGTTGCTAAATTACAAATATAGAGCTAATCCTAAACTAAAGTAGTACAGTAAGAAAGTTAGTTACTTACTATGACAAAAATAAACAGAAAAATGAGCAAATAAATAAATAGTTTACACCAAGAAAGACAAGCTGAAAGTAACATGCAATAGTATTGCAGTTATATATATGCGGGAGGTTCAGAGGTGATAATGGTTTATAATGGTAATAGGACTCAGTGGAAGCCAATTCGGTCTGTAATCATGCAAGTGATTAACAAAATTTAACGGCCGCGGGATTCCTATTTTTTTATTGATCACGAGTATGATTACAGACCGCGGTTGCTTACCATTTGACAGAAAAATCCGGTTGGGGTGTCGAAAGCATGATGGTAAGCGATTTACCAGTTTATCGTAGAAATGCCACATCCGTTAGGGTTTGAATTCAAAAAAAGGGCAAATTTGTGTAGCGTGAGTCTGGAACCGAGAAGGAACCGAGAAATTGGTTAATGGTAAGCAACATTCCATTTGGTTCGTACCAACCGGAATGAAAGGACTACCTCAAAACGTACTCCTCAATTTTCGGTTGGAATTTCCGAAAAGTGACCTTACCATTTACCTTCCATCCGGAATTTCCGACATTTTCTGTCAAATGGTAAGCACCCCGGATTGGACGACACAAAGTCCTGTTACCAATTAATTATTTAATCATAACCGTTACAATTTCCGAGAAAATAAATGTATTATTTTTTTGGTGAAAGAGCATTTGAATTTCAAACGTCCAGAATTAAGGAAAATATCACCGGTGGAAACACTGTTTAAATGTTACAAATTCGTCCATTTTGGAAAATCCCCAGTTTGGTAGGGTAAGTGGTTATTGCTATGGTTATTGTGATAACTTTGTGATTGGTGGATTCAGCTGAGTGCATTTAATATGATTGGCTAATGTAACTGTCCGATTTATACAGGCAACTGTCCGATTACACTGTCCGATTTACAACGCTACACAATGATTAGTGAAAAATAACGCAGTTTATGCATCAATCCAATATGAGGAAATTGTAATGGTTATGATTAAAAAGGAAATAACACAGGATGAATGCTACTTTAATCCTTATTCCTAAACGACCGAAACAGTGGTTATTAAATAATTCAGCAGGTTGATCCTATCGCTTCTAGAATTGAACTTCCAGCATCTAGTATATAACGGCAGGAAATCGAATGGCTAAGAAATGAAAAACGCAGTTTCTTTGAGGAACGAAGTCGACATCTAAAATTGGATCAACTAGAATTGAACTTTCACTGTGTAGACGTATGTAGTATAGTTGTAGCTTTCGCCTTGATTGGGGAAGACACTCGGCAGTCATGTTACCGTGACTATTACTGTAAAAGGCCTTCAAAGAGTGACGTTATTGTGGATGTAAGGAAATCTTGCTCGTGGAATCTCGAATCCGAGAAATTTTGCTCGTGGGATCAGGAATCCTGGGCTTTTGGAATCCACAATACCGCTCAAGGAATCCGAAATCCCACTAAAGAATCCAGAATCCTAGTTCCACTGATAAAGACTGGAATCGAGTAGCTGGAATCCGGAATCCATGGCGTGCACAGAATTCAAGATAAATGTGTTCAAGATTCTATTTTGGGTAGGAATTAAGTGTATTTTTTTAATTTTAGCTAAATTTTAGTGGTAAAGTAAGCCTAGTATCACTGGACGAAAAAACGGATTTACCTCTATAGCAAATTTGGAGCAAATCATCTGCAAATGCCACGTTTTCTTAATTTTGCTCAATTTTGCCACATGACATAGGACCAACTTTGCCATAATTTTGCATTAGTGGCAAAGGTGGTAAATGCCGAATTTGCCTCAAATTCGCCCCGTGTGTAAAAACAAGGATAACCTTTACTTTATCAAGGCATTTACAGGGGTGTCAAACTTGATAGCAGAACTGACATTTGTCAGGGTTTTTGCCCAAATGGGCAAAAGCGATCGAAGATGAATTTTTGAATGCTTTTGCTTTCTATAGCAAATTCGGTCAAAGTAGTAATTTGCTACATTTTTGCTCAATGTAGCAAAAGTGACCAAAACTCATTTTTCAACAGTTTTGCCCAGGATAGTAAATCTGAGCAAAAATTCACTTTATTTGTGTATCGCCCAGTGTAGTAAATGAGGTCAAATTATCACTTCTTCCGTATCTTTGCTCAGTGTGGCAAATATGATCAAAATAGGCGTTTGCCACTGTTTTGCTCAGGGTAGCAAATTTGGCCAAATACCACTTTATTCTCAATTTTGCTCAGGATGGCAGATATGATCAAAACAGTAGTTTCCCATACTTTTCCCCATTGTAGCAAAGTTGATCAAATATCAGTTCTTCTGTATCTTTGCTCAGGATGGCAAATATTGCCATGAT